AAAAGTAACAAGAGGAACTCCAAACAAAATAATCAATCCAATCTCATCGAAACTTTGAATAGGTATTACTTTCATACGTTGCATTCCGAAATCCATTCCCTGAAGAATCTACACCGAAATTAATTCTTTCAAGAATCATTTTTCGTCAAATTATTTAGTAGATGAATGTGCGAATACTATGTGAATATTACAGATAACAAGAGTTGCATCAATATCCTTGATCATACCAAGATTACAACACTTGTGTATTTAATCAATTAAATTAGTTATTTAATCCACGTAAATTACTTTCTTGATATGACTTCGAACAATTTAATAAATTAAATTAATTAAAACGATATTTCGAGTTGAGAAGATACAAAACGAACACGAGGTTGTATCGTATTCGAAACTAATTTTACATTCAGAAGGAAGGAAAGCCCGTCCCTCCAAAAGAGTTCATTCATCCCGCAGTCAGTAGCACGACGTTCATTCATCGCATCGTACGGGGCCGAAAGATTTCCGCGCGCAAAAATAACGTTTCGCTCTACGACTGTAGCACATACTCAGCGCATACGCACACATATGTGTATATACTCGTGACGATAACGCTATTGCTCGCGGTCTGCACTAGATCTTGAATGTTTCAATGACAAGAGGAGGCGCGACATCCCGTGTTCCGCGAAATCGACGTCCGAGCCTCGTTAACAGTCTGTCCGACGCGATAACGAGAACTAGGTCGGCGAAAAATTCGCCGATACCTCGAGGAACTAGGCGAAAAAAATGGCGGGCCGCGATAGCGCGAGCCTTAGGCCATCGGCAGCAGGTCTAAACGCTCGCTTCGACTTATGCAACCGTAGCAAGCGATTTTATGCCGTCGACTCTTCTTTGGATTTCATTGGAATATTTCCAGTTGGTAGTCGAATACGGATACGCGACCCGAAACGAAGCGAATTGAACAGACGATCGTGGGAGGTTCAATGCTGCCGACAATTGTCCTTTCAATGACGTTGTACTGGTCTATTTTCAGATTATTACGGCTAGACGGTGTTCGCTCGTTTCGATGACTATGTCATTGCGTAAATATCCTAACTCGGGAATAGTTAAACTTGTACGACAGTTTGTACACTGTAATTTATCGCACAGTATCATTATTTTTAAACGAAACATACTAATTTCATAAAATTCTAAGTTAATACAGATGAAACACAATGAATTCCTCTTCTTAAAGATAAAACTTTTATTATTATTAGCTTGCACATAGCAGTAGTTTGAAAGAAGTTGGATTTCAAGGAAATGGCTCTTTTAACAGTCGTAAGGAAGAATCTCTCGAGACACATTCCAAAAATAATAACAAACTTTCCGAAAACCACGGAAATCCTCTTATGTAGACATTAATACATAATCACCGACGTCTCTACTTTGAGAGTTGTTCCAAAATGTCGGAAACCCGGCCACCACTGTGGCTTCCGGTTCCCGATCGAGCTTTGGATTTATACAGCCATTGTATAAACAGCGCGAAATCGTGTTTCCGTGAGCGGCTAGTCGATGGATGCAATGTATTCTGGTTTGTTTATTTAGGCCAGCCGTGGCAAATCGCACGAGTCTCGAAACTGGCGGAAATCGCGATGCGAAAAACCCGGGTGTGCTCAAGAACGATAATGGGTCTCGACAGTTTCAGAGTTAACGGACCCCGTTACATTATCGTCGTTTAGTCAAGATCAAAGACCAAACAACAGTTTTTCGTTTCTTGTCACAGTCTAACGAAAACGAGAAACTCGAATGACTATTTTTTTATGTAACGCTATTTACTACTCTCTGCGACTGGCGGCAAGCTTGTTTGCATTAACTCTACTTCTGTCTGATGTTTAAGAGAGATCCTTTTGCTAGGAGTCGGGGAAGAAATTCTGTCGCTATTTTCCGTCCTTAGAGTTGTACGGAATATCGAATAAATAGCAAGGAAAATCTAAAGGTTTGTACATTGGAAAAAACTAGTGGTACGAGTCAATAATTGTGTCCTCAACGTGTTCGCATAAGTTTAGAAATTGAATAGTCTCATTTATGATTATCAATTTTATAACAAAACGCGTTCTCCTTTATCTTAAGAGAGAAATAGATACGTCCAAGAAACTGCGATACCGCTGCCCTTGCATTATCAATCGCAAACCGAAGCAAAAACGAAACACGTTAACCCTGAATGTTATTTCTGTTGCACCTTTGACATTGCTTTAACATCGCAGTCGCACGGGACATGAACACTCTACTTATCTACTACTCTCTACTAAAGAGAGAAAACAGTGCGGCGGCAGGTTGCGTTCCATTAATCGCAAAAATTCTTAACCGATAACTCGCGAACGAATTTCTTATCAGTTTCGAATTTTGTTGAAACGCACTGCATTCACGGAACGTAGAAGATAAAACGGAATGTAGGTTAGAGGTTGTACACTGAAAAAGTTTATACGTATGTACATCGTTTTCAGAAATCGCGCTGCAAACGAAACTTGTGTAACCCAGAAACCAAAAGTACTCTCCAACAAATTGCACCGAGAGTAATGTTAAAAGTTACCTTTCGTTTCATTTGGCCGTTAATCATCCAAAAAATAACTCAAATACGTTGAACAAATTTAGTTTTATAAAATGATGGAAAAAGTAGTGACTTCTTCGTGTATTTGATGTTTTATTTGACTTTGATTCAATCGATTTCGTTTTATTAATATTCAAATTGGCACAAAGTTGTTATAAAAATATTGAAATTAAATAATTGTTAGAAAACTCTTCGACATTTACCGGCGAAACGAACGTATCCGACACGACACCGGAAAGGGGTCCAAACGATATTTTCTTGAACGCTCATGAAAGGAACATCTACCGTCGCCCTTACAATACTCATCGTTGTCCATATCAATCCCAGATAGAAGATCAACAAGAATTTCATCTTCTGTATTGCAACAGAAAAACATACTTAAAAAAAGGAGATAAACTAATAAAAATCAATAGTGAATAATCACTACGTAACATGAATTTATTGATCATTTCTCGATTTACAATTCATTGTAGAACAGAGTGAATTGTCTCACTTTGAATTTACACTTAAAAATTAAATGATTACGAAACTTTAATAAAAATCAAACAAGACAAGGTTACTTAAACTCGTTATTTTTAAAATGAACTTGGCAGCTTAAAAATTTCTTTCCAATGTAAGTACTCACACGTCTGAACGTTTGTCCGGTTAGTTTGAACGTGACTGAGAAATATCAATAGGCGAACTGCGCGCACAACGCCTGACGGCGAGAGTTATATAAATAGTTGTCGTTCGTTGGAAAATTTATGGAAAGATGTGCAATTATCAAAAGAAGCTTTTGACGATAGAGGAAATTGCTGTCGTCGATAAGGAACATCACACCGAGTGCAGGAATGTTAATGACATTCAAGAATGTACAAAAATAGAGAGATTCTTTCCATTGGCAATTTTTCAAAAATACCAAGCGAGTCAGTTATTTATATGAGGAAACTATAGAAATAGTAGTACTTAAACGTAAATGTATGATTACTATAATTTAGTTAAATCAACACAGTTTTATTTAAAATTGTATACTATGAACGGTGCAGTACTTTATCTATGTTCATATCATAAAACAATTTAAAAATTGAACTTTGCCAAGGATCCTTTTTTAACTCATTACCATTATTACGTAAGTACGCGGGTTTTCATTGCGAGGCCGAGCATCTTTTGCGTGCAAAAGAGAATCCTTGACGGTTTTTTCACTCGGTCAAGAATGCAATGTTCTAATTCCCCTAAACCACGTAGTCAAATAAATTTTACACTGGATATTTTGCGTGCGGAATACAAAATTGTCGAAGATTAAAACGAAATTAAAAGAAACGAGACTATCATATGTACCGTAAATTAAAAATGGTTATGCAATAGTTAAGAAGTTCTATAAGGGGATGATATATCATAATAGTTGAAATTCTGAATACGTAAAATAAGCCTTTTTTATTACACTACAGAATATATCTATAAAGAATATATTTACACATAAAGAATATTATAAATTTAACGATTTTGGGTAGATGTAGATTTTCTGCAGATTACGTGCATTCTTTATATTTTCAGCACATCAGTTCCTTTTATAAATGCATAAAAATCCATAGTATATTTATAAGTTCTGATTTAATTGACCTGGATTAAACGTCACAGGTTTCTCTATGGGAACTGACTTTGTAGTCTCTTTAAGTGAAAACCGAAAGGCGAACATTCACGACTCGACATGCCACGTATTATTATTGGAACCATGTTCGAATTGGCATTAACATTCACCGATGCGCTCCCTCGCTCTCGATGTCGATGTAATAACACACCGATACACGCACATGTAACAACGCAGCTCGCGTCACTCGCCATTTTCGTAACGTGACTTTGTATCATGAACTTTTTGATGACGTTTTCGCAACCCTATCAGCCGGCGAGCACAAACTAAGTAGCTATCTCCGTATGTATGTATACATACATGCTTATTGCACGCTCGCAGCAATGCACTTCTAAATTCGTTCGTTCTCGTGATAGAGATAACGCGCGAATCTCTTCTAATCTTTGCCCGAACAGTAATTCTCAGTCGAGCTTACAAATTGTCGTAGAACAAGAGTTCTTTAATTCGAAAATGAAAAATCAAATAGTTGATATAATTGTTTTCAGAAATAAAATTAGTTTATCAATTAAAATAATCATAAAGAATTTTCAAAAATGGCGTAAGATTAAAGAGCACCAGCGAGAAAAGTACTAAATTACGCCCGGACAATGTAATAATAAATAAAAATATAAGAAGAATGACATCATAGGACTCCAAAAACATGACGAGTTATTGATGAATGCAATTTTCAGTGATATCAAACTGTTCGCCACGTTTAAGAACTTTCAGAAACTGTGGTTATGGGAAGTACTTGGCGTATTACAACACGCGCTCTGTTTGACAACGTGTACCACGACTGTTCGTTATGCAACTAGTGAAACTATCGCTTACCTGTCCGTCGTTGATCCTGGATGCACAGAGAACGTTTGAGGAAATCATCCAGTAGCTCGGTTTTCCGATCTAGACGACAATTGATTCCACAGCATTATGATATCTGCGACATTAAAGGATATTTGCACGTTATTAATCAGTCTTTAATGGAGAAAATGCCAAATTGGACGAAGCACTAAATATCTTATGAAATTTTAAAGATGATATGAATGTAAAGGCCAGTAATCATTCAAATATAAACTCTGGGAGTCAAGTATCAAACATGTTTATAATATTATGATTTACTGTTCAGATATTCGTAAGTCATAGCATTGATGTAATGGGTACCATTAAGAGTCGATAATAACCGGTAGATCGAACAGTTACATAAACGAGAATTAGGAGAGGAGGGGAAGTGTCGCGCAATGAGTTCGCTTTTCTTTTCTCAGGTCAGGATCTACGTCTACGGGCCGGTTGAAACTTTCTCGAATTAACTGGCAACGATCTTGGCTGTCTCGATTGCAAGTCGGTCGGCGCGGCAACAGCGACAGTAGCGCTGGTAGTTAGTAGACAGCCTATCGTGGGGCTATTACGCAAGTAGTGAAACTACCCGTCGGCGAACGTATCCGAAAAATAAATCTTCATAGACCTGACTTGGGCATACGTTTCCCAGACGTTCGAGCTAGAGAACGATGATTGACTCTTCATCATGTAAATATTCATCCACAACAACCGGAAATCTTTCATTGCTCACGTATGTAATTATATGAAACACGTTCAGCAGGTTTTAATTAACGAACTGTTTTAATGATTTATAACGAATTGTTTCCCCTCTACTTTTCTCAAACTCTTAAACAGTCCTTAAAATTCTAATAATAAAAGATTAATAAAACAAATGAAAATTGTTGAAACTTGTTGAATTGAAACTATCAGATAATTGATCTTTCATAAATAGCATTTGTACGTGTGCGGACCTTAATAACATACTATGTAATTCGTACAATTCTATTGGTTTGAAATTAATTTAATTACGCACTTGGCTTTACAAAGAGAGTTATAAGTGGAGGTTCTTATTTCGTTCGGTCTAAACGCACCTTTAGAATTACGCAACTAGTGAAACTATCCCGGCAGATTTGTAAGTGCGGTGTCGGCCGGTTTGTTCGTTCCATCACATCGCTTTGACGTTCTCTATCGGTTCCACCGATGGGCCGGCCGTGTTACACCCCGCGGACTCGCCCTCCCATTCTTTCTCTCGGTCTGTCTTTCTCTCTCTAGAACGTAAGTTTATTGCCAAAGTTTTCGGACACAACGACCGCGGGTAACCCTGGTCACGGGGAATAGGCCAGCGCGCACTCGCCGTGGCACACGAGCTTTTCGCCTTTCGTGCATGCACGAAACTACGTAATCTCCATGTCCCTGGGTTATACCCTCCCTTCATCCCCTTTTTCCATATCCTACGTGTCCTTCCTCTCCTTTCTTTCACGTTCTCCTTTCCCCTATTCTCTTCGGTTCCGTTCGATATTCGGTTACCATCACCTCGACTTTTCGCGGCTCTGAGCTTGATTTATCGACTTTGTCACGTCCAAAGACACCGAGACGAGATTACGTAACTCTCGTGCCCTAGCATCCGATTAACTATTCACCAAACCCTTATCAGATTGTCTAAGGATTTTACAAGTCCCAAATGTCGAAGTTTTGTCTCAATTATTGACAATTTCATCCGAAATACACTAAACACGTAGTATTAATATTTTTAATAAATACATGAATGATATACTCGCGAGTTTATCATTTAAAAAATAGTACTAGACAAATAGTATAAGTACGTCTTTACATAAAACTCCGAGAACAATAATTACCTGCTTCATTTATATTTCTGAGAGGTCATTTGTATCAAGTTTACTTTACCCGACTACCCTACCTTTATTCCCATTTCTTCTTTCCGGTCGCGTGAAAGTAGGTGAGAAGATGATAGGGGCAAGGCACGAAAGAAAAGGCAGAAAGAAAATAACGAAGAGGAAGAGGGCAGAGCGTTAAATAATCGTTTTAATTGGGTTATGTACGAGGAAGTGACCTATGCGAGAGACTGAACCTCGCGGCTCGAGACCTTCTGCTGCTGCCTTGTGCATTGTGCACCGACCGCACTTCTGCCAACCCATCGGTTTTCTGGCTGCTGAATAACACCCACCCCCCCTTTCCGCAGCTCGATCGCTCCATCCACCCTAATGACGTAGAGAATTTATTTGTCCCAGTCAGTGGCTCTCAAGCGTCGCGATTTCGAATAGTTAATGCCAGAATTATGCAATGTTTATATATATATAAATATATTTCTTGCATTTTTAATCATTATAACGAAAACTATATGTATCTTCTAAATATTACATTTTTAAAGTATGATGCACTACATTTTCTGAAGTAAGAAGACGAATTAATTTATAGAAATCGTTCATTTACATTTGAGTGAAGAATTCTTTCAGTACCCGATAACAGCGATTAATTCCAAACGTAAATCTCACTCTCACAAACTCTGAGAAATATCATTTTATATCTTGATACCTATTCGACGTTTCTGATATCGCAAACATCATAGATGGTTCTCGACTCTCGCTAATCGTCCCACGATGAAACGCAAAATGTCGACCGACGCCGCAGAGCGACCAATCGAAGCTGATCTCCCCGCATAATGCGATCGTTTCGTGCAGATAATGCTGGCCGAGAACTTTCCGAGTCGCAGAGCTTTCGGTTTTTTATTCACCCTTCATTTTCTCTGCTCTCGTCTCCTCTCGTGGCTCTTCACTAATACGCTCCTCCCCATTAGGCAGCTATGATTTGCGGTCGACGAGCCGGTATTAAATAAGCAGCTAATTGGGTTACGCAACAGGAAGTGAAACGATACGATCGCTTTAGCAGCGGAACGTAGGCGTTCAACCGGCAACGATAGACCGTTTTCCCGCATAAACCCGAATCGTGAAATTTAAAGGAAGCAAGGAGGAAACGCGACGTCCGATACGTACCGGGGCTGCATCATTTCCGACGCGTTTTCACCCTCGATTTCGTTCGCTTCCGAGCGGATAGGCGACTATATCTGCCTCCCTCTCTCAGCTGTTTCCACTCCTACGGGTTCTACACGCCTACTCTATTCCGTTTGAATCATCGCATAAAATGTGGTACAAAAAGCCTGAGTAGCGCTACCAAAATAGGATTACGACGTGCATCATCATTCATTGCAAAACCTTGTGAAGCCTTTTGTATGTTTTTATATAGTTTAGGTTTTAATCGAGTCCTGCGAGAAGTCCTGACAATAATGATTATAAAAATTAAGTAACACTTGCAAAAAACGTTTCACTAATTCACTCGAATTCCGGTAAAATATGTCTACGTATTCCTATTTGTTCTTAACATTTCTCTGGTTCAGATCTGACAGCCGTATGACATGTTCTGCTAAAAGGTTTAACTGAATTAAATGAATGTATGGTATCGTTTCAATATGTAACGCTCTCATAATTCAAGAATATCGTAACAGATGTCAAGGGAGCCAATTTCGATATCGAGCTGGCGATCGGCCTCGGGTAATTCGGTGCTTAAACTTGACAATGGCCAACGCTGAACGGGTGCGAATAAACGCGATACAGTGCGGTACACGCACCATTATCCACGCTTCTTACGCAGTTATACAACCGATCACGCATATCTGCGTGCACGGATTGACGCGAAGGTACAGCGCGTATTCACACACATGGGTACTTTAGCCGATCACTCTCTCTTCCGTCAGAGGTTCTCATGAGCCGATGCAACGATCCAAGTCTGGCGAGCCACGGAATTTTAGTCGCGAATTGATTACGCAATTAAAAACCGATTATGTATTTACTTAGACGGTTTTACATCGTGGAATTTTTTAATTAGTAACTTTCCTTTTTTCTTATGTTTGGATTAATGTTGCAAGTAGAGAAAGGCGCGAAGGTGATGCTCACGTAAGCTTAGATTCGACCGATTACTAAACCCAATGACAAGAGAGTGCATAACTAGACAAATAACATTACTTTTTATGCCACCTCTCGTGAAATATATGTCTGAAATATTCATTTAAATTCGCTCCAGCTCATTTTTCATAAGACGACGACGATTGTATTTGTGAAATCCTCCAAAAATTCAAATCTAACGCCAGGACTGTGATGTTAAGATTTCTACTAAAGTTAAGACACTGATTATTCTACTGTATGTGACTAATCCATCCGCGATCCAACGGAAATATAAGCTACTCCCGAGGTACATAATATGTATGTTCCTCGGCCCATGGTTACTGTATCGATTTCCGCGAAGCGGCGCGCACAGTAACTCGTTAACTGATTAACAACCAGTATTATAATTCATGCATCCGCTGAGACGGATGATGCAACGATTACGAAACACGTTCGCGTTTTTTATACGGCATACTATCTGGCTGTACCGCGGAAAAACGAGCAATCGAAAGCTGCGTCTAGGAAACGACTCGAGTGAAATTCGAAGAACTTTTTTTCCTTTCGCCCCTCGCAGCAGCCAGCCCGTTAATTCGATGCATAACGGTTCGAAACTCGAGCGCGTACACGCGTCTTTTGCAGTAAGTAGCGGTTGTTATTTTACTGCCGCCGACTAACGACTTTCACTCGAGCGGCAGACTTGCTTCCTGAATGTATAGACCGGTCGCGAATACACGATCGAACTAGGAAACCGAGAGCTGATTACGCAAAAATCTGTCCGACCCGTGACGAGATTCTTTTATCGACTGGCGCAGGTTGAACCCTTGGCTATGTTCAAGGACGATTGCGAGCTGCAATCGCTTCGAGCTCGGTATTTATCCAAGTTTAGTATTCATGAAAGTGAAATTTCGCGCTGCCAGCGTTTGGAGCAACGACCGGGTGCGAGTTGGAAATTAGGTGATCGAGTGACGCGAGCATGAAAGTCAATCAATAATTCTCAATGTATCTTGCAGAATTGTGATACTTCATCGCAATCCTAATTTAACATTTTTATTCAACATTTATTTAGCAATTATAACGTATGCTGCACAGAGTGCACGTTTTTATTCATCTTACGTGTTGTAAAACAGTTCTGATTTAAACATAGAAATTTCTATCAGTTGATGAT